TTCAGATACAAATTCAGAATACGGGCCAGGAGCACGGTACACTATAACAAATAAAAGTGGCTGCGAGGTTTTCCAGGTCGGATGTAAAACACTAAGAACGAGGCTTTCAAATGAATTATAATCTAGTTTAGGTTTAGGGCTGATTAACAGACTAGAGTTAAAAATGGCTGCAACTCCCCCTCCTCGGCCGCTGCCTCGAGGAATGTGGGTATTATTATGACTGGGAGGAGTGGACTCATTTAGACTAACATATTCATCTTGACACAGCCAGGTTTCAGTGAGACTGAGTAAATCAATATGATTATCTGATATTAATTCGTTTACTAACACTGCTTTAGACGATAGAGACCTGATATTTAACAGTCCGCATTTAATTCTCCTGTTTTGTCTTTCTGTCACAGAAGAGGTTTTAATTTTTATGAGGTTGTTATGCACAACTCCTCTTTGTTTAATTTTGGATTTAAATAATTTAGGTAGTCGGGGGACAGACACCGTTTGTATAGAACTATGAAAACTATGGCTGGGTAACTGAACTAGAAGCTCAGAGAGGCGTTTAGGACTGCAACTCTGAGTCCTGATCTCAACTCTGGGTTGTCAGGGATTTGAATTACAAATAAAATTTGCCAGGTTCCTAGAAATGAGAGCAGCTCCATCCAAAGTGGGATGAATGCCGTCTCTCCTAATAAGACCAGGTTTTCCCCAGAAAGTTTGCCAATTATTAACGAAACCCACAGTTTGCTGGACACCACCTGGACAGCTAGCGATTAAATGATGACATGCAGCTAAACATGTCATCAGTGGTCAGATTTGGGAGGGGTCCAGAGAAAACTATGGAGTCCGACATCGTTTTAACTAACTCGGCTTCTTCTCCGGAGTCTTTGTGTTCCACTGTCTCACAGGTTAACTTATATCGCAGCGGTGCCTAGATAGTGTGACGTGTGTGCTGCTGCTGTGGTCCTGCCAGATGCCTCCTGCTGCTGCTGTTATCATTAGTCATACTTCTACTGTTATTTTTTTAGGGGGAGTTTTTCCCTTATCCGCAGCGAGGGTCCTAAGGACAGAGGGATGTCGTCTGCTGTAAAGCCCTGTGAGGCAAATTGTGATATTGGGCTTTATAAATAAAACTGAATTGAAATTGAATGGAATTTCACAATTGCTCTGGCAGCATAAAAGTTTGATTCCCATGCCAATAAAGCCCTTCAAACTGAATATACTAATTAATAAAAGGCAGTGCCCCTGTGTAACACAACAGGGTATTCAACACACCACTGTTTTCATTTGAAGAAACATTTTGCTGTTTTGTTGTGGCTGAACGCAGCCCTGTTCGTAAGTATTCCTCCTACACTTCACTAGATGGAAAGAGCTGCTTGATGATTGTGTCCTATTTCTCACTTTCAGTGAATTAATTTTTTTTTCTACTGGGAATAACAAACTGTTTTAAACTATTTTCAAGAGCAACAGGTTTTAACTGAATAAAAAAAGAAAACTTTTAATAATAAAAAAACACCCACACATGGTACCACAATTCAAAATGTTGAAAGTTTACAGATACAGGAAAACAGACAATTTTGTAATAAACCTCGTGAATGTGAAGCAAACAAACTCTTTTCTCTGAGTCTGTTAACATGGTGTCCAAAGAGAAACGTCCAAGTGGTCTTGATTATGTTTCAAAGTCCTTATGAAGAGTATAAAATAAAAACTTTAAAAATCCCATAGATCCACTTCACCAACATCTGCCTGCAGGTAAATATAGACAGTCTCAAAAGTCTAATCAGTAACTTCACAAAACAGTGACCTCTATACAAACACTCCCCACTCATGGGTGGTTGTTTTTTATTCTGCATGCATGAAGATGGCATGAAGGTGGGACAATAATTTTATAGTGTTGTCAATCTTACATGGTTTTACCTTTTTACTTATTATGCTAAAATTATTCAGGGTTGGTTCACCAAAATTATAAAAAACATATTTTCTCACCTGCCACCAGTGGTATCTCTACATGCAGACAGTTGAGGTTTTATTTATCAACGTTTTGAGATATTGGTCTCTGATACTTTTGCCTCCACCTTAATACATTGTAAGAAAATGGAATTTGGTATCAGTTTTGTTGACAGTTTTCACAGTACTTCAAATAAAGATTGTCTCCCGTCTGAATCATCCTGGTCAGCCCGGTCTGTCTCATAGAAACATGTAAAATGGACATGAAGACTTAACAGTGCTTTATGTAGAGGTGGGCGCAAAATGTGTTAAAATTGCATGCTGGCAACATGAAAACAATTCCAATGCAAAGTCAATAAGGATCTTTTGTCCTGGTGGACACATGAATAAGGTATTAAGAGCGAGAAAGTCTGTGTAAGGCGGGACATTTTGGTCCGCAGATTTTGCTTTGGAGTGGGCACTCTGGACTTGCACTTGGTACAGGCTGCAGTGTACCAGAGGAGGCGAGGCTCTGCACCGTAAGGCTCTGAGATAACATTATCTTCCCTCTTCTGCTTACAAGTGATGAATTTATAGCTCATAGCAACTTCATACCATACTGTCTCTGGCATTTGTTTGATATCTAGTGTCGGCAAAAAAATGTTGCACATTTCTGATCCGTTGTTAGTGCAGTTAGCTTGTTTATTGTCACATTGGATGTCCTGCTGGACCCTGTTCAAACTTTAACACTTTATATGGGAAAAAAAAAATGAACCGTTGATTAGTTGTATTGAACAGACAAATCTGATAGGACTCACATATGGTCCAGTCCTTTAGTTAAGTGACTTTATGTGACAACACAAAGCACTTTATATGGGTACTTTACGTAACTACTCAAAGTATGCAAGTTTACATCACTTACACACCAGTTTTCTTTCCCAAAACCTCACCAAACAGCGTCTGTCTCTAAAGGAAACTGCGATTGTTTGTAATACTCTTTACATCAGCTCTTTTGCTAGCATGTGATTTTAACAAACGTTGTGCCCACCACCACGTAATACCTTAAAAGGTCATATCACATATTTCTGTGAGACGGTGTTGAACAGGGACACTGATTCTAAAAAATGTTTTAAAAAGTCAACAAAACTCTGTGGAGACTGAATTCTCACAGTTATCTGAAAATCGGTTTTTATAATTTGGGTGAACTGACCATTACAACAGCCTTAACATGCAAACTTGAAATTGCAGTCAACATCATCTAGCACACATTAGCATCATGTTTGAATAAAAACACTGGCCAAAAACTGCTATACATTAGCCGGACTTTTACATCACATCTGTATTTCAGTTACAGTTACTGACATGTTGTTTCTGTGTCAGTAGTTTCATTCACTCAGTCCGTCAAGCCCAGAAAAGTGGAGTATAGGTCCCTGAGATTGAGCTCCTGATGGCTGAAAGTCCACATGCAAAACAAGCAATCCAGATAATGGAGGTGTGATACAGTAGCTGCCCTGTTTATCCGTCTTACTGCTTGCTGTCAACCGTGAGAAAGTGGGCTTCAGGTGTTTAGACTGAGCGAATGTTCATGTCACGTTCATCCATCCCATACTAACACACAGCATAATTAACATAAGATAAAATCCAAATATAGCAGAGGCCAGAGTTTAGAAGAATTACAGAGTGGACTTTTAAATATTAACTAAAGAGAAAAAGATCAGCGAAACAAACTCTTTCATTCACATTATGTCAAAATCCACCAACACCATCTCATGCTCGCCAAAACTGATGCACACATTTGTGAGAACATTTAAAGGAGCAGTTAAAATATTTTGGGAAATACCTTCTTTTAAAAAGTGAGATGAGCAGGTGATTATTAATGTCTGTTTTAAGCACAGTGCTGGAGTCAGATGTGGTTAGCCTAGCTTAGTATAAAGACTAGAAGGAAAAGGAAACAGCTAGTCAGGTGCAGCACATAATCGGGGCTCAGCAATAAGAACTGCCCAATAGAGTGCCCAAGGAATGAGTTCCAAAACCCCAAAATGTGTTAGCATTTCTAAACTCCCAGTTCCCTTGTCTGGAAGTCAATGGGTTTTTCTGAATAGGTTTTTGGTTTGATCTCCGAAATGAGGGCTGTGGTTAACACAACCTGAATAGACATTTGTGTTTTATTCTGCAACATAAAATACATCAGTAAATAACCCACTCCTGAATTATGAACTTTATCTGTTTCTTAACAAAGGCAGTTGCCAACAAGTTGCTAAATGACACTACAGAACGTCATCACACTGAACACGGCCTAACAGCCTCGTTGTGGTGATGAAGTTAGTCGTGCAACTGTGGCATTGTTCATTTTTTGCCTGATGTTAGCTTTTTACTTCTGGCCATTGCATTTAGGTTTCAAAAGTCATTAATCAAATAGTGTTCATTTGTGAAAATTATCCTGCTGAACAAATCGTTAATCATCATAAGCATTTGTTCATCTAAAATCCAATGGGAAAACCCAATAAGCTTTTTGACAAGGAAACCAGGGCAACGCTAACTTACGCATCCGCTTACAGAAAAACAACACCTCTGGAGCACGTTTTAGCCCAGGGCAGGTAAAATGCCACATTAGGCTAGTAAATCTAACAAATCACTTGACCAATAAGGCAAGTGGTAAAAAAGAGTTAAACGCATACAGATAAAACAGGGTTGTTTTTCTTCAAAGGCATGTCAAATTTAAAATTTAATTAGCCTTTGTTGTTTGATGACTACTAATAAACAGAACAATGTATAGGGGAAAGTTAAAATTTACTTTGGGCAAGTAGATTTCCAACCACTGCTTCAACCAGGCAAGTGAAAAACACAGTAACATTAAACCCTGAAAATGTCCCCTTAAAACCACAAACTTTGATTCTCATAGCCCTTTTCCACAAAATTTTTAAACACGGGAAAACCCGGGGCGTTGGTGGCTTAGTGGCTAGAGCAGGCGCCCCATGTACAAGGCTGTTGCCAAAGCGGCCCAGGTTCAACTCCAGCCTGTGGCCCTTTGCTGCATGTCGCGCCCTCTGTCTCTCCCCCTTTCATGCTTGTCTGTCTTATCGATTAAAGGCTAAAATGCCCCAAAAAATATCTTTAAAAAAAAAAAAAAAACCAAAAAAACATGGCAAAACCTGCTTAATATAGACTATAGACTCCTTTCCCATCGCCAGTAGATTAGAGCTGTGTGCATGGCTCTGCAGCAGGTGAGTGTGCCTCAGTGTTTTTGTTTTTATTTTACTGCTGTGTTACGTTCAATGTCATTGGTTTGAAAAACAGAGGGAAAGGGAAAGGGGCTATATATTTTTGTTTAAGGAGAAAACAAACAGGGTAAAGCATGTTAATTAGTGAGCTCAGAGGTGTTGGTAGGAGCATTTTTGAACTTTGAACAGAGCCAGGCTATCCACTTCCAGTCATGCTAAGCTAACAACATAATGTCTCAAGGTTTGTACTTACACGGACATTAGGTAGACATCTCACTCTCTGAAAGAGAGCAAATGAGCGTATTTGCCTCAAGTTGACTATTCCTTTAAGTGTTTTTCTCTTACAAAACAGAATCATGTTTGCACCTTATATAAGCCAATAATTTGACCATACACAGAGGAAAAGGATTGGATTTGGGAGGCAGAGTGGTATGAACCAGCTGGAATCGTTTGCTGAGTATCTGAACTACAATTACAACTTCATTTAACCTAACACTAGTTAAATTATTATTGCTCTGACTAAATTACAAAGGAACATTTTACGTTGGTATGACATGAAAGTTGTCCTGTTACAGCCCTCATTGGGGTACTGACTGACAGCTGGTAGAACCAATGAAAAAATCTGAATTTCTGACCTTCCTTCCATGTTAACAGTCAACACTATCTTTATCAGTCCACAAATGTTTTTCACCAAGGCCTTCCTACTTCTGTCATTTACTTGCATGGATGTGTGAAACAAGCTCTTGCTGAAAGCAGAGTCCAAGCTCTTGTCACATCCGTGCTGACTCTAATCAGGCACACAGTTCCGGTCAACCAGGCCAGAACAGGCTGAAGTCAGATTGACATGTAAGTTCGAGTAACCAAATTGGTATAAATGAAGAGTTCAATGTTCCTAAATATTTTCAGCACTGAAGCAACTGGGAGAGAAAAAGTATTACAGACATTTATCTTTCTCCCAGGAAAACCTCTACAGAGCTGTGGGTGGATGGGATATTAATATATTTTTACACATGACCAAAAGACAGACTGTTCAGGTCATGAGACTGTATAATATAAGATGTAGAAACTCCGAAATAAACTTCCCCAAGCAGTAATTTTATATGAACACTGAAACAAATAATGTGAAGGGATTACTAGTTCCACTGATTCCAGTGAAGTGTATGCTCCCTAGCTGGTACACAACGGCACCCATCTAGCAAATCATAGAGATGCAAAATTTTCCTAAGGAGGTGGAAGAGCAAGCCATGGATAAAACACCAGGAAATACTGGATTAAACCAAGGCCCAAAAAACTGGGGCAATGTTGGACTAAACCAAGGCTAAACCACCAGGGAATATTGGACTAAACCCAGGCTAAATCAATCCCTTCTTCTTGATCTAATGTGATAAGGTATGTATGACAGTGCACGAGAAGGATTCTCAAATGTTGAAGTCAGGAGAACTTGAAGAGAAATGATAATTCACCGACATGTTGTCCTTGGCCATCAAACCGTTTATCGTCCTACCGTAGCAGATAGGACGCAAACCCCATTTAGAATCAGAAACCCAATGGCAAAAAGAAATATGCCTGGATACAGTTTTTAACATCATGAAAATGTTTAGGTCATCAAAGTGGTCATGTATACCAATTTGGGTGCCTCGGTGTAAAACTTGACATGGCATGAACACGTAGTCCGCACTAAAAAGGCCACAGAAAAGGGGCCTGAAAAGGTCCAGTGAGACGTGGCTCAGTCTAGTGAAATAATATCTGATATGCTGCTGTCTGTTCCTCCTCCAACGCCCCCTCCTCCTGTGATGACCCGCGTCTCGTGGAAGGAACTGGCAGCATGGGTGCTGGTGTCATAGTGGCTGCTGGAGGAGGAGACCAGGGCTGAGCTGGTGCTGGCTGCAGCTGCAGTTTGCATGCTGTTCGTCAGGTTGTCCAGGAACATCTGTGGCCTGTAATGCTGAGTGGGAAAAACAAGTTGATCAGGATCAACATCATTAGTCCAATGAAATGTCAGTGAAACTTTTTAGTTTGTATGACCTGCTAAAATACAACAATACAACAATCCAATGTATGGCAGTATTGCCATACATTGGAGAAGTATTGCCTCTCTTGGTTGACATACACTTTTAGTAATTAGTGGATCTTCCATGGATGATAAACGAGGTTCAGACTTCACTCTGTGTCACCAGTGAAGACGAAACACAGCAAGTGCTGGACAGAGCAGTGAGTGACAACCACATTGTTTGCAGCGGAAAAGCTTAAGGGACCTAGGGTCTAGGTACCATGTCTGAAGGGTTACTTGAGCCCCGTTTCCAACTAACATTTTCAGTATGGTACCATTGGAACCCTTCAGACATGGTACCTGGACCCTAGCGTTTCCACTGCAAACCGTCCCTTTAAATATGGGCGAGGTTATTGTCACTCACTGCTCTGTCCAGCCCTCACTGTATTTCCTCATTATCAGTGACAGTGGAAAGTCTGCACGCTGATGTTTTCAGAACAAAATAAAACATGCTGCAGTGAGAGTCTCTCTCCATGGAATATTTTAAAATACCAGCTTTGTGCATTTAGTCCTTCTCAGGCAAGCTCGGGGGTTTAGTGTTGCATTGGCCCGACGCTACGTGACCCTTATCTTTTCTCAGAGTGAGGATTAGAATATATGCAGTTCACATAACCCGGCCAAAGTCAGCACAGTTAATGCGCTGCTCCAAGAGGCAGTACAACATCCTTTCATTGCATATTTACAGTTTACTAATTAAATCTCCACAATATGAACAGTGGCTTCTGCCTCATAACTAGCCTACTCAATTGAATTGTACATACCGTACTGCTCTGTGGGAACAGGGCTTTTTAGTCCTCAAGGCACTATATCTTGAGTGTTTTGTGGAAATGGGGCTTGAAAGTGTTTGTTTTTGCCATTGACAGGCTCAGATTGTTATTTTAAATGTCTGACAATATTATGGAAAGGACCCTACAGAGGTCGACGTCTTTGTTAAAGAGTAGGATGCTCTTTAATTAGAAACAGATCCAAAATTGCTATCATCAAAGCCACCAGACTGTATTTAAATAAACAGTAATTTTATCACTGTAAAACACTTTATTCAAAGTTGACAGAAGTAAAATAAAACTCACAAAACCATTTTGGTTCTTCTTTCCTCGTTTTAACAATCACCACTTCTGGTTTGGTTTAAATACATCCTCAATTCACTCAGTTAGATGTGAAAAATATGCTGGATCTATACACGCTAAAATTACTGATTATTTCAATGGAGTCTGGTGTGTTTGGTGATGGCGACTTCGGGGCATGTTCTGGTTAAACCATGAGGATCTTACTCTTTAACAAAAATACCAACCTCTGTAGGGATCCTTTCCATATGTTGTCAGACACTTTTATTAATAATCTGAGTCTGTCAGTGGCAAAAACATTGCCACGTACATTGACAATGCTAAATTGCCCACAGGAATCTCATTGTAGCCAATTTCACTGATGCTGGCTGCAGCGGCCTCTCTGAATACTGGACCAATTAAAAAATTGTCTCCCAGAGTCACTTTGACACAAAGTCATGAGAAAATAGGCTCCAGGTTGGAAAATACCTTACTTATCCTTTAAATGTGAACAGATAAGTGTATCTCAATTGGTTTCACTCTACAAGCAAAAGCAAAAGCAGCATGTGTGCATTAACTTAACTAACTGAAAATAGTTGCTGTCATTGTTCAATGGTTACATTAAAAAAAAGTCAAAGATTACTCTGATTAGTCAAATTACTTGCACTATGCACTGACGTATTACATCTGACGCTTTAAGATTCCTACTAAATACATCTCAACTCTATAAATGTAATTTATTAAAAATCTTGACTGCAAAAGTTTGTTTGGTTTCATACAGCCCTGGTTAAGAGGAAAAGGGCACAAAATGAAGTTCATGGATATGCATCAAATAGCTTGTGAAAAATAAAGTGTGATAGTCAGCTCTTATTTCAAAATGTGTCAAATACACTTAATCAACATTCCACATCTTTTCTGCTCAGCTCGTTTTCAGGGTGTATCTCCACTGTGTGAACATCAATCAGACACTCAAAATTGTTTCAGCCAACAAAAGGTGATTACAGATCTATGATGAATATTGGAGATTTAGATATTCATAGATTGTGAGAACCAACATGATAAAAACTAAATTTGAAAGAATATGTATTTAATAAAATAGCAATGAGGTAAAAGTGGGTCAGTCCCATTATATCAACCTGAGTATAAACCTTTTGGGCTGTCAGGATCCACATGCCTCCCCTCACTGAACCTCCAGAAGTGTATTTTCTCTACTATTTTTGTTTGTTTCCCACATCCTTCCTATTTGCGGTTTAAAGGGAATTTTTTTTTTTTTTACGACCTGGTTTTCTTTTTTGAAGTCGGCCTTCCTGTAAGTTGTTAAAACTTGACCTTGCCATGTAAAGGTACGCAGTCAGCAGGGAAACATGGCTACTCTGCGATACTTTATGTAAGAGTTGTAAGATGTTTACATTCAGTGTCACCAAAAGTCATTGTGCATATTTCTGAGGTCTTACAAATGTGTTGAATGCATTTCCTTCCTCACAGAACATTTGTAAAGCTAATTCTTTAAAGTGTTTTAAATCCAGCATTGTTTACACCGGTGCTTACCAACTTGCAGTCTTCCCCTTCCCTGCTTTTGTTGGAATATTGCAGCATACTGTGGCGTGTTACAGCCAGCTGTAGTAAAACCGCACTTAATCATTGCTATTTAGGAGACTGTCTGAAATTCACTTCTTAATTTCTGTCTTTGTTGTACCAGTAGCAACACTGACTAGAAAACAATTTGAACAAACAGAGTGAACCTAAACTTCTGCGTTGAATCCATGCTGTACCAATGGTATACCCTCTGCCTAGATGCATACCCTATGCCATACCCTACGCAATATCCTGATGTGCACCTCCCCAGAAACTCAACTACAACAAACATTTCCCTCAGAGGGAACAAAGCCTTTATTTACAGTTATTTCACAGATAATAACAATAAATTGTGAAGACAATAAAGTCCCCAGAAAAAAAGCCAAAGTCCGATGTGTGATTTATCCTGGCTTCATTTATCCTGGCTTCATTTATCCTGGCTTCATATGAGTCCGCTAGCCACTAGACTAATGTGTGTGACGGTAAATGTCACAGGCTTATGCTAATAACGTAAGCATGCTGTATTTGTGGGGAAAACATGTCTAACATAAGACAATTGTTTTGTCGATGAATTTTATGAGTTATAATAAAACCAAATTTTGTGACATTACCTTTGTCATGTCAAGTCATGTTTTATGTGTTAGATGAATCAACTAAACTTTACTTCACAGGAACTCAACACAATGGCACAGAAACCCTATCACCAACTAGTGTTTTGGAGGTGTAATTGCAAATCGACACAGACACACCACCGCACAAATATAAATGCTCACTACAGCATAGGCCACTTGCTTAGGCTCTGCTTAGAGCCTGTGCACAACTATAAATCAGCCTTAAGTAGCAAATGAAAGCTATTCTCTGCTGCTATGATTCCTGGTTTAGACTGATAAGATGTGAGAAATGATGTGTAGTACAGCTTTTAACAGTAGGAAACTGTGACAAACATACCTGAGGATCTGCTTGAATTAAGGAAAACAAATCCAGACCTATAGGTAGGAAAAAAATGTTATTTTTTGTAAGATTATTATTTGACTAAATTATTAACATTTCCACGTAGTGATCATACTGATAGTTATCCTATGCAGCTGACTCACTCTGCATGTCTGTTGGGATGGTGGCCAGGGTGGATGGGTGGAAGGGGACTGCATAGTCAGCAAGTGTAGAGGTTAGGAAGGATGGATCCAGGGCCTGGACGTTTGGCATGCGCACAGTGGGCTGGTAGGTCAACACTCTGAGAAAAAACAGCAAGCTTTACAACAGTGTGTTCCAGATGTCATCCTTCCAGAAAACAGCAAACACTTAATACTGGATGTCTACTGCCTAGTGTTCTCTTATATGTCACTGGATGGCAACATTAATAGAGACTACTAGAAAAGTATTGTGGTTATTGAAGATCACTGTGACAAATGCATAAAGATCAAATTACAAATTGAAGGCCGTTTTATTTTTTTGGAACAAGGTTGGTACACGGGTCTGTCTATGGCTCTACAAAACAACACAACCAGGCTTGCTCACCCCTTCGCGTGCATCTCCTCGTTCTTGGAAATGTAAACACAGCGTTTCTTCAGAGGAGGGTCTGTGTCCTCTTCATCATCAGAAGAAGAGGAGCTTTCCAGAGTCAGATCAATCACATCAGCCTTCTTGGTGGTGCTGGGCTCAGTAGAATGGGGGACTACTGAAGACTGTCGTAAAGGAGCTGTGGCTAAAGGACAAAAGTTCAAGGATAAGGCTGGTATTATTCTACATTGTCCTGTTGTCCACAAACAAAAGACAAACCCCCTGAAAAGACCCAAATCAACGACGTGTTTGTCCCTCGGGACTTTCGAACTTCCTGTTTGAGGTTCATAGCTCCAAACCCATTCGATCCAACTGAAGACGAACATTTTAAAAACAATTTTTTAAGTACAGTGTATGTTGATGGTAATGATGGAACGTGTCTGCCAGTGCAACAGTGTGGATCATTAAAGTGTGTTTATTAACAATGGAGCCCAAAAATACACAGCAAAAGAAGATATATCAGGCTTTACTACATAAACAATACTTGTCGGTACAATCATTTTAAACCTTGCTCTGGTATCACAATGACGTACTTACGCTCAATTTTTTGAACTGACTGAGAGGGGACTTTAACTGCCTCTTTCTTTGGTCTCATGGGACACCAGGTTCCGTCCTCCTGGAACTTGATTTCATCCACATCTGAGCAGTCATTCAGGATCTCCAAGAATAAACTGAACAAGGAACAAAACACTTCAATCACCACTATACAATAATTGTACATAACTGGTCACACATTCACACTGACTTTGTTGGTGGTATCCCTGAACCTGATTTTAGTTTCCAAAGTCCCCATGAGCATTAGCAATTGTCAAGTTTTTTGGCCTTTATCCCAAAGCTTCTATTTTGTGTATCTCTGATACAGAGTCCAATCTGAAACTCCTATTTACCTGAATGTTGATTAAATATGTATCTCACACACTGAAGTAACTTGTACAGCCTTCTAAATTTGAAACACATGCTACTTGATCCAAATACTGAAGGCCTGGTTCGAAATTATTAAGTAAACATGCTTGAATTACTGATAAGACATTAAGGAAAGTAACGCTGGAAGAATGAAACTTTTGCTGACGCAAGTGTCAGAACAGAGTCACATCACTTGTGCAACCAAATATGTTCTCACATTCATACACTCAAATTCTATCTCTCATATGTGTTAAAATGCTTGCAGGGTAAAGCCTGACTGTCATTAAGGACAGCAGCTATGCAACACTGGCAGGTTGAGGTGGACGAGATGCAGTACAGCAAAAAAAGGATCCATTTTTGATTGCCGTTATCCAACCGATCTTACCGTTCCATTAAAATTTGCATGGATCTGCACAAATGCCAACTATTAGAATCGGCTCAGGACATTTTTAGTTAAAATACATAAAACCAAATGGGTAGCGTTCCAATCTCTACTGTGAGAATCTGTGTACTTAAACACTAGGACGACGCACAGTGTTGTAGCGACTTTCTACAAGCAACCGTCAGCCACTGAGAGGGCTAGTACAGAGAGGTCTGTCCGACATGCCTTGTCAAAACAAAGAGCATGAGTCCGACACTGCGTTCCTTTTCGTTTACCAGGTTTACCTTACATGATGCACAGAGGCCGCAGCAAAACTGGACCAGAAGGGCTGTAACGGTCAACAAGAAAGTAAAGGCTCCACACTCTCCCTGTCTCTGTTACAAGCAAAACTGAACACTGATGACCAACAAGTAAAAAGGTCATTTTAATTACCCACTAAGACCCGGTGACATGACCACAGACACCTCCATACAAGCACATACATGCCCCCAATTACCAACAGTCACCTATAGTGACAGGCATGAAACCCAAACACATTCCTTGCTCCTTCATAACAGGGACACATGGATTTTTGTAGTGCCATGTTCTCATTACTTGGTTTAACAATCACAACAAGTAATGAAAACATGGCACCACACATTTCCCTCACCAAGAGCAACAACAGGTCATTTTTTGTGTGTTAGGGTTGATATATATATTGGTTAGTTTAACTAACCCATCAATGATGAGACTCTCATATGCAGCCTTCTTGTCACACACAGGGCAGATCCAGGTGGGTTTCTTTTCATTCATCTGCAGGTAGAGGGCGGCATCAAAACACTGCAGGTGAGAGCAGGTCACTGCTCGGCACGGCACTGTCAGTCGCATCTTACCCAGCTGGAGGACAAAGCACACTCGAGTCAGTCAAAGCAAATTAACTAGGAAAATGATTGATTCCTTGCACAAGCACAAAGTTCAATTTGTACAAATTCATCAGATAACACTTGCTACAAAGTTATTACATTTCTGCAAGTCTTACAGACAGGTGCATGAAACATGAAAGTCGTATGTCACTGGTAGATATGGTACTGTGTAAAACGTACATAAAATCATAGATAAGCAATATTTGTGGGCAACAGTTGCTGATGTGAAAAACACTGTACTAACTGAGCTAGCCTTGGACAAAGTTTGACCATTAATGCTAGCAGTAGAGTAGGGGTCGGTGATAAAAAATGATACAGCATAGTATTGTCATATTTTGCATAGCATTATTGTATAGATACACTCTTGCCAAGTATCATTTTTTTATCAAATAAATTATTAATATTGCAATATATGAATTCAACTTTTTGTAGCCAACTAAAATAGTAAAATCAATTGCTTTTTCAGTTCTCTACATACTGATACATTTTTGCTGCAATAAAAAATGACTGAAATGAGATGAACTGATGAGTGAAAATATTATCTTACTGGATTAAACAGATGTCAAAATAGTTAACCTTTGGGGACAGAATTTGCAGTTAAAAAAGGGTAATATATTGCAATATGTGCTCTCGCAATACTCAGCATACCGCAAAACGTTTTTTAAAATCCTAATAATGTTCTATCGTGACCATGATAGTATTGAATTATGGGACATATGCTAATTCCCCTCTCTACTATGTGCCAAGGGGCATGATATCAAAACAACATCTTACTTATTTATTTAATGTATGAAATGTATGTCTGTGGAACATTAAGCAAGCGGACATAACATTTTCATGTGACACACAGCAGTAACATACCAGTAGCCAGCAGTGGCATATGCCTGTAAACACTCAACATGAACAGCTGGGGTATGGCAGTGGAGGAGTGTGACATACTGTGTTTTAATGTGCAATTTGCTAGTCAAACAGCAGTGACATGCCACTACTCAATGCAGCAAAGGTTTGTAAGACACACAGCACTGACATTAGGCTACAAGGCATTTAAGACCTGCACATCCAGGCTCAAAAGCAGCCTCTACCCTCAAAGCAATCATTGAACTGACCTTGAGGGGAGCACGATATTGGATATGTTGCAGATGTCAAATATGCTGATATATAATAATTTATTTGACCAATAACTGATACCAATATCAATATATCCAATTTATTTTCCACCTAATGTTTAGTGATCATCAAGTCTCTTCTGTAGTGGAATTATCATCATATTACACATGCATGCTCTTATAATAATAGCCCACCAGCAGATGGAGACAGGATATATAATACTTTTAATGTATGTAATATTCATTCATTGTGCAAAGTACGAAAAAGCATGTTGGGTGATTGTAACAGTTCATTTTAAAGCCGATATTGGCTGATACTGAGAACATGCCAATATTATTGTGCACCCCTACTGTTACTCACTTGTTCTCACTATATGCACAACATATAATGTAATAAACACTGTTATCAGTGGCTACATTTACATAAACATAATAATTATGTATATTAGCCAATAAAAGTTAAACACAAATTCTGGTCTGAGAGCCCAGTTAGTCATTTTGGGCTAAATAATTGACAGCAGTCTCCAGTTTTAGTGCCTTTTAAATAAAATGTGAAGGTGTGTAACAGATTTGAATTTTTCAGACTTTGGTGACCCCTGGTGGTATTTCAAGGAACAAACTGTGGCAGACAGTAATGCATACTTATGGCCTGATCTGATCTATGCACAACACATACAGAGCTGCATTTCTTTTCACATTTCCCTACAAGCTATAATTTATGCTGTCAGAATAATATTAAAGCTACTGTCATCACATAAACATTCTACACAGATGCTTCATTTACCGGGCACATGAGTGAGACTCGAAGGCTTGTGGTGGCAATCTCACTGTCTGGATCTGCTGTCAGCTTCTCTTTAACTGGAACACAGAGGGCATGGGAAGAGTACAGAAGAAAAGAAGAGAGTCATTTGAGAGGTATCAAATAAGCTAAAACAAAAGATAAAAAGAAATGGGAGCCCTCTCCACACTGGCTTTCAACAAATGTTAAGTGTTGATCTCTATGTCTCGATACAAGTCTGTGTGAGACCCATTTTCAAGACTAATTGGTATGAGCTCTTCACTTTTTTTTAATGAACAGGTCAATTTCAGGTGTTTCAGTTCAGCTTTACTCACCAAGGGTAGCAGAAAACTGATAACCTTGTTCTCCCTGATCAAAACAGCTAATCACAGGGAGTCATGCCGTGCATTTACATGCTCTAAAGTAACCACGTTGTTTTTCCACTAAAATTAACACACGCATGCAGGTTTTTTTAAACACAAGAAAACCAGCTATAAGTAGGTGATAGACTCCTTTCCCATTAGAAGAAAACAAGAGTGGTGTATACACCTCTGCAGCAGATGAGTACACTGTTTTGTATGTGTGTGTGCGTGTGCGTGTGCGTGTGTTTCATGAGTGTGTCATGTTTGATGTCACAGACAGGCCACAAGACAGGTTAGTAAACAGTACGAAGCAGCACATGGAGGCCTGTGAAAACTTCATGGTGGTTACTTCTTATTATATGTATCTTTAATATTCAGTCTCTTGCTCAAGCTCAGTGCAGCTGGGTCAATGTCTGAGCGCTCCTTGGGCAAAGAGCGATGAAACTTGTGGCAGCAGGCAGCAGTTTTCCTGGAGAATGTTTTATTGCTATACATATACAGTATGTGTGTAACTGAGTTTCTAATTGACCCTTGAACCTGACAAAGATTTCGAACAAGGGAAGTCTTCACTGGGACATCACGTATATATGTATCCTCAGATACATCTCAACTTAAACATGCACAACTAACCTCTAGAAGTCTGAAAAAGTCTGTTTCCAGTGCTAAACATCTGACTATTTGTAAAATTCTAACACATTCAAACTCTGTTACTACCAAGCCTGTGTTCTCACTGCACCTCAATCCTCTGACATACACACAAATCAGGGAGCATCATACTGTATCACTAGAGTTAAAATAAGTAAAGAATGCGTATGGGGAGAAACTGATTTTGTATGCAGATTTTCAGTAGTGATGTTACCACAGTGCTGGTGAATGTATGGTCTGATCTCCTGTGTAACCTGATCTTTCTGAGTAACCTGGTTTCTTGTGTGCATGTAAACATACTGCTGGTATGTTAAATGTTGAATGAAAACCTCTAGTCAAGCGTGATTACGTCAAGGTAAAAATGCTGCTGTATAGCTTCTAGTGGTCAACACTGAAGTGTTGTCACAGTAGTTTACTGTATAGTTACTTAGTGCTCTGGAGTGGTCTGGGTTTCTGATGCCCTTCATCCTCAGCCTCTGCAGGAGCAGTGGTGATGTCAGTTGCCTCACCAGGTACACAGACATAGAATAGGTCTGAAAAACAGTCAAACAACCTTTAGAGAAGTCACTGTCCTTAAACATGATGTCCAACTCATGCACAGTCAAAAGAAGACGGAAAACAAAGGTTTCAATGAGGTTCATGTTCTCACTTTTCCAATTTCAGGTGCCCATGTCACTGAAATCTGATTGGGTACTGCAGAGGAAAGTCGGACAAGGGAGGTTATGTTCAGAGGTCGCCCTGGTCTCTTCTGCTCCACACCATTTTTTGGTGGCGGTGCATAACCCTAGAGGAATAGAATGCTTTGTTAGCTTCTTTATGGTAAAATGGCCTCTTGTTGGAACTGTTCTGATGCAAAACAAGCACTTACTGGCAAAGGAAAAAGTTTCCCATTGACCTTTATGCAAAGACTGTTTGGGTAGTTATCCTCTTGAGGGCAACTTGTCTCTGACAAACAAAATCTGACAACACAAAGAAACATTTAAAGCCTTAATATATATATATCTGAATAAAATAAGGAGAATCCTCACTTATATACAAAACAAATAACTGCAAATTTAAGTGACATGATTTAAAATAATACTCAGCAAAACAATTATGATGGATATTGTTAGGGCTGGGTATCGTTTATTGGTATCAGTATCACTTTTAAGGTATTGGTATCATAATTTTTTAGAGCAGTAATGTGAATAGAGTGGCATGAATACTTTAAATGTTAATAGCCTGGGCTTTTATTTGCTTTAACTGCTAAAGAGATAGAGGTGGGGAGACAAAACACCTCTCTTTATCCTCTTAAAATAACCTAGCTGACCACCAACGTTGTTAGACATTTGATGTGTTATTAATTTAGGTTGTGAGGGCTGGGGTTTCGCACCGGAGAGAGATTTGAAAGTCTGCCCAGCCGCACACACACAATGACAGGGCAAAATGCCTTGGCATATCTAGTCTGTTTTGTTTCAGATGCATTTTTTAATCAGTCACCTGAAAAAAAAAAACATTCCGCACAGAAACCTTGCACACTGATTCTGACGTGTTTTATTGTTCTATTTGCTGTGACAATTTGCAATATGTGACAAAATGACAAGACACATTTCCTCTTTGCCTCCCTCCACTGGAGTTACCTATGTGACTGTCATCACTTCCTCCCTGTCTTGCATTTGGCACCGCAGCTGCATGAATTGTCCTCCACATTCATGTGTGTGGTTCACTTCCTCCTTCCGCTTTGTCATCATTCACTATCTGACTTGTTGAAAGTGAGCTCAGTCATGAAATGATTCTGTGCGCCCTGTTCCTCTGTCTTGTCGTGGCAGTGTCCCGCCACACATTTTCTCCACTGATTCTTGGTCAAATGTCTCTCTAAAGGTTTCTGACGGATGTGACAAACAGAGTAACACAGAGTCTGCTGGTGCGACAAGGAGACAGAACAGTCCTGGATCACACCACCAGCACAAAAAGGGCCGAATGCAGGTATCATCTGACTGGAGATGTGTCGATACTACTCTTACCAAATTATTTCAGTACCAATACCCAGCCCTAGATATTGCAGTGCTATGTTCTGAACCAGCATTTTCCCTAATCAGACTGTATGTTCAGTGTTCGGTGATTTATTCTTCACATGTAAGAAAACTCTAAACATTCTCACCTCAGTTGAATTTGAACCATATAATCCCTTCTGCCACCTGGTAGGAAGTCCCTGTAAACAAACATGGTTAAACAACTTGCTAAACATATTTACATCACAAACGTGGGCATGTTTTTCTCAGTTTTTCTCAAGCAGTCCTACCTGGATATGCATACTTCCCGAACTTGCTGTGGTGTCAGGGCAAAGATAAAATATTTTTCTTGGTGGTACCTCTGTGTAGGACTCACTCCTGAAAACATAAATGATGACTGTTACTTACAGAGTACCGACTTCAAATAACTAAGATACCTTGGCTCAAAACAAACACATGCTATAATGTGTGACCTTTATTTAGAGCATATAATTCAGATTTTGGGTATATTATCAGAAGGTAAATCTGGATTTACTTCCATCTCATGATGGTGATGGTGTACAGAGTAGGTCATGTGAAGATAAAAAAATACTGTTCAGTGACACTATCCATTCAATCTTTGGTTTAACTTCATCAACTACAGTCTCTGGCTGATGTGAGACATCCTGTTTTCAGGCACTTCCGTATTTCAATGTGCCTTGACAGGGAAATTGCAGCTTTTAGAAAAATCTGAGTTCCCAGATGCAATTACAAATTGGAATTGACTTTAAAGTGATTTACAAGTCAGAAACTCATAATTACTATAACTCCAGTATTACACAAATGTGACATCTTTGATAAGCCATTTCCTGGCTTGTTTTATTAACACAGATTAACATATTTAAATGTAATTTGTTTTTTATACTCGGGAAAAATACTGTGTTGAAAACATGATGTTTTGTTATAACCTCAGACACTGTATTTGCAGCAGTATTTAAAATAAATCTAACAATACCCAGTTCCAATTTGGGACTAAGTGCCATCGTTGAGACCAAAATGGAAAGTAAACCACAGACCTAGACTTGAAGGCTTGATTAGGACGTCCAGCACATCATAGAAGGGCAGAGGCTTCATCTGCACATCAGGGTGGACAGGGGGGATGAGAGGTGCTGGCTGCTGGAGATTCATGCTGGCTTTGGTGTTGTGCAACACGGTTGTTTCACCAGTCAATAGGCTGAGGTCTGTGTTACAGGACCAACTCCTGCTAACAGAGATGTCAGTGTTCACTACAGTTACCCCTTTCACATCAGAGTGCAACAGTGACTTCAGACTGACCAAATCAGGATCTATGATCCTAGAGTGAAGCTTGTGATACAGGTCCTTGCTTTTGATATGCTTTGGTGGACTACAGCCACTCTTCAGCAAACACTTGCCACTGTGCGTGTTAGACCAAGGGATTAACTGTTAGCCATTAAAGGAAGAAAGTATGTTTAGTCTGTAGTCTGACTCAGATGAGAAGATGGATATTCAATTCACTTCTCTGAATTCCATTTAGAATTTGATCAAAAACATATTTAGTCCATCTTAGCACACAGACTGTCAGAAACAATGTGTACCCCCTTACAAGAAACAGGTTTCAGTGATGAGGTAAATACAATATATTTTGGTAAACTCAGGTAAACTGACGGTCCTCTTTCTTAAGTTACCAGCTTTGCATCATTTTTAAAAAAAACTCCAGGGGGTTCATGGGTCTATCTATGGCTCCACTGTAGAGCTGTACAATTAATTAATACATCCAAACTGTGATCCTGATTTAATAGAACGCGATTTTGAAATCGCAAAGTTGTGATTAAAATAACAATAACAGCCGGGTCGGAAACACCTGGTCCTATGGGCTTCAAATGCACACACGTAGGTGCAAGGCTACCAAAACAAACAAACAAACAAAAAAAAAAAAAACAGTGAACATTGAGGAAAAAAGTAAAGCCTGCACACTCACTCCATGTCACAAAACTCAAACAAAGACAACGTTTTGATCCTACTTGGATCTTCGGCAGTTCAAATGTTTGAAAAATTGAAACCACTCCTATATTTATATAAAATGTACACCAATAGGGTGACAAGCTAAATGGTGGTAGGTGTGGTTAAACATCTGAATCACTCAGGGTGGTAAAACAATTGACAATCAGCAATTCAATGAATAAAAAAAAGTGCATAGGGAGAAATCAGTAATTCAAAGGCTATACTACAAAATATCAGTCCTATATCTCAATTAATAAAACATTATATCAAAGTTAATCATCAGTCTACATTACTTGTGTTCAAAATTGTATTACATTAAGTAAGAGGCAGAACAATAGAAATCTCAAATACATGGCCAGAAATAGGGTCTAAAACATGTGCCACTATCGCGGCAAATGTTTTAGACTCACTATTATGATCTTGTCAGCCTATTGGTGTGTATTATGTAAAGATATTGGTGTGGTTTCAACTTTTCAAACATTATGACCTGACAAAGATCCAAGTAGAATCAAAATGTTGTCTTTGTTCAACTTATGTGGTATGAGGTAAGAGTGCAGACATTACTTTTTTCCCCACACAGTGAGAATTACAGCCAGTGAATCACCTACCTCAAATTATATTTAAACCAAAGTTCAAGATAATTCAGAATTAAAAACACCAGTTTTTGTTGAAGTTCAATTAATGCATGATGTTTCCAAAGTTAATGAGTAATCCTGTTGAATAACTGTGATCTCAATACTGATCAAAATAATCATGATTATTATTTTTGCCATATTGAAGCAAAACCATTAAAATCAACTGTTTATAATAGATGTCGATGCTCACCAGCTACACTAGCTCACACATTTTCATACTGTCTTAAGCTCTCAGGCTTTAAAATATGGCAGCCTTTTATCACATGCTTGGTTACTTAATTGTAAATGTATTTATCATCTGTCATCAGTGCAAAATGTACCTTTATAATCACAACTTATGTTAGTGTTTGTGTAACTTCTGTAACTTTTTATATATTCATCTAATTATTTTGAATTTGATTTTCTCATGATTTCTTAATTATTATATTTATCTCTCTTTTAGTAAACAGGATTATGGTGATTTTTGATACTGTGAATTGAAAACCAAATAAATTGGTTAAAAGTAATATTTTCGGCAAAAAACAAAATAAAACAAAAAAAAGCACCAGTTCCATGTTCTACAATGTTTTTTGGCTGTTTTTTTATGACAGTATTGACTATCTTTAAGTTTGAGACTGTTAATCAATTAATCAAGAGAATAATCAGGAGATTAAAAAAATGTATTAGTAGTTCCAGCATGTAGTATGGAAATGTGGCATCCCTGCAGAGGTTTAAATACACACCTGCACCAACATAGCCCCTTGTGTTTTTTCAAGGCAGTGTTATTTTTAGTCTTTTTTCACTGAGAAGTCTACCATCTGTCTTTTGGAAAAACTGAGCCTCATACCTGTGGTTCTCTGAGCTAAATGGATATCTACTGCTGTACCTGCTTGTTATATTTGGGCACCCTGTCATCACTCTGGACTTGCACCTAAGTGCATACCAAATCTTCTGACTCCACATGTGCTGGTCATAACCCGAATTCCTCAGCCAAATCTCTGCTGACCATTCTACAATCTGGGCTGAAAACAAAGGGTGGCGGGCCTTTTGTGTTGTCCCTCACTCTCTGGAGCAACCTCACTGAGAAGATCAGACTGGTGAGTTCCTTATCCTAATTTAAATCCCTCTTAAAACACAAGTTTATAAATGTGCTTTCAGAGAGTTTATGGCCTGAACTCAATTTGTATCTGCAAGTCACATATTAAAACCTATTTATATACAAAGGCATTCCCTTGACTATTATTTGACTGATAGTTTTCTTTATTTTTTTTTTATGTTTTAGTAAACACTTTCTTATGTGTAGTTCCTGTTGTCCCATGCTGTATTACTTTTAAACTGATTTTATTATTTTCTTGTCATTGTCTATAGTTTTATACTTTTGTAAGGCCATTTTTTTTACAAGCTACATAATTAAAGTTTATTATTATTATCATCATTATTATTATCATAAAAAAGGTGACTGTAAGCAACATTCAACAAATACAGCTCCAGTGAGGCTCTGAATGAATACAGCTCATGGTATGTGATGCTACTAATGCTGACAAAAATATGATCACTTCCCCTTAGTGAAAAATACAAGGGGTTCACATCGAACTAGCCAGTACACTAGTACATACCCATCAGCTCACGATATAAACAGCAAATCAAAGGGACAGCTTTTAGGTGTTTAGGTAAATTGTTGAATAAAACCATTTAGGCAAAAAGCCAGTAAATAGGCTAGCAGCTGCCGGGGCTGAGTGAGAGCAGCTAGGGGGAGGGGGCGGGACTTTAGCCTATAGCAGTCATAACAGTTGTAGTACACAAGACAAGCAATGTTTATGAGCGTGGCTACCATTGTCACACTGCCTGAAACTGCCTCAACTTATGTACAATGTAAATAAGGGGTGGGGTTGGAAGCCCAACAACACGCAGATTAGACATAATGCTGTCCTGTAGACTAATAAACAACTATCTACGAAGCGGCAAAAATGTACTCAGCTTTGTGTCTGGGAAGGGTTATTCACATTAAATAGGACAGTTTAGACATACAAATACAATATAAACAAATTGTTAAACCGATAAGACAAATGGCATGTAAGTTACTCTAACTTAGTTTCAGTTAAATCACATAAAGTTGTGATATTTCAGACAGTTAAACACTCTAGCGTTAACTTTTGGCTAACTGAGTGTAACATCGTCATATTGACTGCATGTCATCGATTTCATACAGAAAATCAATAAAATTTCTGAGCATAGATTACTTAAGAGCTCTATGCACCCGCGTATTTAGACAATAACAGCATAACTACACGCAGTTAAAAGCAATTCCGTATGGCCTCAGCTAGTTGCAGCAAGCTAACAAGGAACCTATTAGCAACTGGCTTGTCATAAACTGTTAGCATTAAGGCTAACTGCCGAAACACAGACGATCTGCTGTTAAAATGCATATTCCTGCGTAGTGATGCCATGTCCTTATAGCCCATTAACCCGGAGCGTCATATATCGATCGCTTTTTGTCTTCACAAGTTATCGTTACATGTTATAATGTTGAAAGAAGTAAGTCACAATCACTGTTTTTCTTTTAGCCTACCCGAAAGTCTTCACTCTCCGCCATCTTGTTGTTCCGGTCATCCCGCCCAGCGCGACTACTTCCAGGTGACGCCTCAGCCGTGCAGTCAAAGAGCATGGATACCAAGAGGCGAAGCTCAATAGAACGCCCCATAGCAACAGACTCGCCCATGGTTTCGTCCTACCGCCGCCATTTTGGACTGTCAGCAGACCGCAGCAGACCCGCTTGCATACAAAAACACACAGACAAACTTAAGTATATTGCTATTAATTATGCTTACAATGCTACTCACCTCGTGATAGCTTGGTCACAGCTGCTTTTTCACGTTTTTGTAAAGCAAAATATAGACTTAAAAAAAAACAAAACGAAGAAAAACGGCCTAGATGGCATCTCTACATATTACATCCACTTATGAGAAGATTAACTTAATTACTCCTTCAAAATCACCCCATAAGCCAATCTACCAAAAAATAAAAAAAATCAATATTTTAACTAGAAACACATTAATGGCTACGTCACATAGTCAGGAATAAAGATTTATTTACAGTTTGTACAGTAACAGGACAGTAATAATAATAATAATAATATATAGGATATTTTAATATGATATATTTTAATGCTAATCAGTTCTGATATAAATGGTTCAAGAGGCCATATATATATAGTATGGCTATATATATATATATATATATATATATATATATGTGTGTATAGCCTACATATACATATATACATAACAAAACAAAACTGCCATATTAAATTGATATTAAAACACTTTAAAACTTCCACCTCAGGAGTTCTTACCTGTCGGGATCCTTCAGGAAACGGTGGAAGGCCAGGTGCGGGGTGTTTCACTGATAGCTGTTGCAGTTAATTGCACTACACTGTTTTCTTTTACTTTTTTTCTCCTCTCTCCTTGACATCTTGCATGTTGTCTGGGCGCAACAGTCCAAGCTCAACAGTCCAAAATGGCGGCAGCGCCCCTAGTAGGCCTAGCTGTTGGCAAAAATTCAACGGAGCTTCGCCTCTTGGTATCCATGCTCTTTGGTGCAGTGGACACACAAGAAGGGACGGGACCGGACCCCTGTCTATGGAGTACTGCTTGTGCCACAAAAGGTGGCCCGACTGTCTCTTTACAAACATGGCACAATTCCACCTTGTCAAGTCAAAGAGCTATTTTTCAGAAAGACAAACATAAGTCCAGGTCCTTTGGCTGTCCTATATTTGGCTAGGTTACCTTTAAAAATACACACACACACACACACACACACACAGGGATGAGGTAGAGTGAGTAGACTGATGAAGAAGTTAGCATCACCCTGGTTCCCTTGACAAAAAAGACTTTTGGGACATTGGATTTTGGATTACTGCAGGAAATAAGCTCTGTGACAAACACATGTTTATGAAAGCTACTTATATAGGCTATTTTGTTCTGCAAGATAATCTTCACAAATGGATGAATGAGCACCATTTTTTATTATTTAAGTCTTAATGAATTGCCAGAGGTAAAAAACTAATGCTGTAACCTGTGATGTGTAGTTACTACTGCCTGACCAGCGGGGGCGCTGTTAAGTTACGTACCTGTTGAATGACCTGTAATACATGCAGAGTAAGAAGCCAGTAAACAGAGTCCACATTGAAACACACTAGAATCTCCGTCTGAGTCATTACAAACATCATTGTTATAACTACAATACGTGACAGTGCCCAAATAATAAGGCTCCTGGGCCTGACGGGTTTGGGGCAGAATTTTATAAGACATACAACTTATTGCTGGCGCCGCTAATCCTGCGTATGTTTAATCACTCTAGGGAAGTGGGCTCTCTAACTAACACATTATATCAGGGTAATATTGCTTTACTTTTGAAAAAAGATCAGGACCCCACAGATGTCTCCTCATATAGACCTGTGTCTCTTCTTTCGGTGGAAACTAAATTATTGAGGAAAATTTTAGCTATTCGTCTTAAGAGCCATGTTTCCAAACCCTGTCTGATCCACCCAGATCAGACAGGGTTTATCCCTAACCGACGTATATACTTTACTATGAGAAGATTGTTTAATATATTATATAGCCCTCTTCCTGATACGGAAAATTCAGTCATAATATCCCTTGTTGCCCAAAATCTTTTGACCATGTAGAACGGCCATCAGTATTGGGTAGATTTGGATTTGGCAATTCTTTTATTAATTGGATCAAAATATTATACAAGGAACCTATGGCCTCGGTAGTCACAAATCAAAATAAGTCGGGACCTTTTCGGCTATATAGAGGGAAACGCCAGGGGATCCTTTATCTCCATTTATTTTCGCTCTGGCTCTGGAACCATTGGCGTCTTCGATACGCTCCAGCCCTGAAATACATCCCATAACACATCTAGGGACTCATCATAAGATTTCGGCCTACGCTGACAACGTTATATTATTTATCTCGCATCCTAAAGCCTCTATATCTCCATTGCTGCAGTTAATAAATAAATTTGGCTCATTTTCGGGATACAAGATAAATTGGGGGAAAAGCGAACTAATGTCACTATCAAATTTAGTAGATAAGACATTCCTCATGACAACTCCATTTAGAACTGTATTAGATAAGTTTACAAGTCTGGGTATTATAGTGACAAGGAAGTTGGGTCAATTATTACGACATAATTGGGATGAGAAAATGGTTCAGTTAGAGAAGAATATACAATTTTGGAACACTTTGCCTATCTCAATGGTAGGGCGTATTAACGCCATTAAAATAGTTGTTCTACCAAGGTTCCTGTATATATTTCAAGCTATCCCGGTATGCATCCCTCAAAGTTACTTTAGAAAGCTAGATTCAGTTATATCATCTTTTATCTGGTCTGGAAAAGTACCTAGGATATCGCAAGAACAGGGCTGAGGGAGGATTTGGTCTGCCTCACTTTAAATCATATTGTCTGGCTGCACATTTGAATATCTTTTCTTTTTGGTTTGAGTGTTTACCAGACAATAACCTGGAAGAGATGCCTGCATGGTTACAAATTGAACATCTCTCCTGTCAGTACACTTCTCTACCGGCACTTATTAATAGCCCAGTAAAGACTAAGAAGTCCATGTATAATAATAACCCAATAATTTATAACACCTTAAAGATTTGGAAGCAAGTAATAGTAACTCTAAAAGCACCTAAAGTTTTTCTAGATACACCTTTTTGCTTTAATCATGCATTTGGGCCAGCACTGGACGATTTAGTTTTTCTAAACTGGAGAGAGAAGGGTATTAGTACTCTGAGAAATGTATACATTGAGGACCACCTTGCATCCTTTCAGCAGTTACAGCAGACATTCCAGCTCCCAGCTTCCCATTTTTTCCGTTTCCTACAGCTGAGACATTTTTTGAGAGCTCATGTCTTACAATTTGAACGTAAACCTCAACATGCAGCTTTAGATAGTATTTTGCAAATTAAACCATATACGAGAGGAGCAATGTCTAATTTTTATGGAATTTTACAGAAAATGAATAATACATCCTCAGATTCATTTAAGGAAGCATGGGAGAAAGAACTGGATACTGAAATCTAAGAAGAAACATGGGAGAATTGCATTGAGAACATTTATGATAGTTCAATTAATGCTAGACATAATTTGATACAATTCAAGGTAGTACATAGACTACACTTTTCTCCCTCCAAATTGCAGAAAATATTTCCAGAAGTGTCATCTCAATGTGTCAAGTATCTAAGTGAAGAAGGAACGTTGTCTCATCTATTCTTACGATGTCATAAGCTAGTCATTTTGGGGCTTTTTGTTTGGGTTTTTCACAAAGGCTTTTAACCGGCCATTTAATCCAGCCCCACTCACTGCGCTGTTTGGGGTCGTGAATGTGTATGATGTGAAAAGTGAATATGAGGCTAGGGCTATTTCCCCTTTCAACATTGTTAGCCAGAAAGCTAATTTTAGAGTCTTGGAAATCTGAAAAGGCTCCTACATTTGAAATGTGGCTAAGGAAACTGGGGAATGTACTACACTTGGAGAATATCAGGTATATTATGTCAGCCAGAGAGAAAATCTTCTTTAAAATCTGGCAGCCTTTTCTTGATGTAATGGCTGGAAATTGACTGAATGTTAATCTGTCACTGTATCTGACGTTCACTGTTTATGATAGTATGATAGGATATATTCGTCACATGTTAACAACCTCTGTCAAAACTTCAGAATTGGTTTCGGCATAACCACCAACCTACGTGAATATGTATTTTTTTTTCTTTTTTTATGTTGAAAATAATAAAAAAGAGAGGAAAAAAAAACTAATGTTGGGCTATAAATGAACTACAACATCCCTACATCTGCGGCACATCCTTACCACAGCAAGGCTGTAAAGCTGTGTTCGATATGATGAGGTTCTGTAGTCTCATTTAGCAACTTGTTATCAGCTGACATGTAAAAGCTTCAAAATTCACAGTGGGTTATATAGGCCTACTGACAAATTTTGTCTCTTGAGTAGAGATGCACAATAATATCAGCACGTCATCGATATCAGCCAATATTGTCTGAGCTCCTTACCCTATCTCTAAGGCTGAGCCCAGCCACCCCATGGAAGAAGCTCATTTCGGACACTTGTATCCATGACCTCATTCTTTCGGTCACTACCCAGAAGTCATGACCATAGGTGAGGGTTGGGACGTAGATGGACCAGTAAATCAAAAGCTTCACCTTCCGGCTCAGCTCCCTCTCCCTTTAAAAGTATTTTTGCTTGTTCTGCAAATTGTTTGCATTTTTATTAGATACTGAAAATGAATTACACAGTCAAGTCAGGTCAGGTCATTATCAGGGAATCAATTTGATTTAGGCTTGTTCATAAAACACAGACAAATCATATGAAAAAAAACAACAATTTTCTCATCAGATAACTTTTTGAAAATATAGTATTCACATTTACATGACAAGAAGAGAACAGAGCAAGTACTTTATTTGGCTATATTTGGCTACAACCAATCAGCCTAATTTTGGTCTCTAAACATAGCAGAAATATTTTTTGTGGCTATAAGTCTAAGGTAAATTTAATTTACGGTTGCACATTTAGTGTGCCCTGTTGTATTGAACATCCATCATTGTATCTCTGTAGAAAATG